GCTTGTTAGCGCGCCGATCTCTTCAAGCCCAGCTTCAGGTAAATGTCTTATTTTTGTTTAACAAGCTCTTAAGAGCAGGAAGGCTTTGTTTGGAACTGTAACGTAATTTAACACTTCAATAAAAGCTTGTATACTTCAGTTACTGTAGCACTTGTTTGAAATGCTCTGGCCAGATTCTAGTTTAATGAATTATGTTTTTTCTAAAAGCAAATCCTAATGTTTCTAATGACCTGCTAGTGAGCTTCAATATGCTTTTTGTTTCAGAGGCTAGGTGTTTTGCATGTTGGACAGAGAATTGAGGAGCAGGCTGACTTTGAGAAAATCTACAAAAATGGTATGCAGCTCATAGAGTTCCAAAAAGAAAAAATAATCCCTTTTCCAAACAAAGTAAATAACTTCCTTAATCTTTCTCAATGTTTTCCTGTTCACAGCATGGGCTGATAATGCTAATGCTTGTGCCAAACAATATGCTGGAACTGGTGCCTTAAAGACAGATTACACAAGGCAAGTCACCCTTTCTTGTAAAGGTGTTTTTTTTGCACTTTTGGGGCTTTCTTTAGGTTTTCATATCTGAAAAGATCACTAATTTGGGGCTTGGAAATTAATGAATTTTTCAATCGTTTAGTTCAGTTGGTAAAATGTGAGACTACAATCTATAGAAGAACACTATTCTTTGCTGTGTTAGTATGAAAGGAGATAAAGAAATGCTGGAAATAAAAACAAGAAAATGAGCCTCTTCAAGGTACATTTGTGTCGTGGGATGGAGAGAAGGGTGGAAGGGAAATTCTATTTTTCAAATTTTTGTTACAAATGTGTGTGTGGTGTTAATGCAGAGGTAGCACTAGATTATTCTATGTATGTGTAGGTATTTGTTAAACATACTACACACTTGAACAATGAAAGGACTGTAAATTTGCAATTCTGTTCCTGAATGTAAACATTTATTACAAATATTTTTCAAAACTTCTTGCAGAACTGGAAAGAGGACTCAGTGGGGCTTAATAATGGATGGCTGGAACTCCTTAGTACGTTACTACAAAAATAACTTTTCTGATGGATTTAGACAAGTAAGTTAGGCTTTTAACTGTGGGAAAACGTAGCTGATCAATATTAAACTTGCTGTGGGTTTTAACTCTTGCTCTGTTTCTCTTCCAGGATGCTATTGATCTCTTTCTTGGAAATTACTCAGTGGATGAAGTAGAACCTGCTAGTCCTCTGCACGTCAAGAAAGATTGGAAGTTCTTAGCTGTGAGTATGGGGACTTTGCTCATGTTCGGAGAAACACGTGAAACCTGTTTAGTCACTTGCATCAGTAAGACAAAGTGGCAATTGTCTATTTAGTAATGGAGTGTCCCTATAATATGGTTCTGTTCCTATGGTACCTGCTTATAGGACTAAACTCAGACTGTTTCCTTGACAGAAAATGGAGTGTCCTTGAGGTATTGAAAAAAATGCTGCTTGCTTTTTTTAGATGTGCTTCAGCCCCTGGAAAGGGAGAAATTCTACTAATCACCATCAATGACTGTTTCCTTCTGCAGAAGAAGCTTGTGAGGATCTCTTCCCATATTTCATGCAGAAGCATAGACTGTAACATGAAGAAAGCTTTTTTTTCTCCTCACCTTTTATGCACCAAAATGGTGTTTGGGGAAATTAGGGGTTTAATTGGTAGCTAGTGTTTTGTTTTTTTTTTTTTTTTTTTGAATACTTTAAATCTTATCCAATAGATACGTTTTAATTCTGAACCTCAGTAGTGAGCACACTTCACCACATTTTGGAACTCTCCGAAATTTTACAGTAGTACCTGACATCAGCAGTTGAAGCAATTTTATGGTAAAGGTAGTAAATAGCTTTGCAATACGTTCTAGCTTAAAGGAAATTAAGAAATATATGTGCTATTATATCACGTAATTATTCTTTTTTTCTTTCCCTAGTTGCCTATTATTATGGTGGTTGCTTTCTCCATGTGCATTATTTGTTTGCTAATGGCTGGTAAGTTGCTGCTGTGTTAAATTTCCCGAAATTTGCTTGCTTGTGTGGGGACTGTATGTGTGTGTTTTCCATTCAAAATGTTATTTAGAAAATATTCAGTATAAATGTGCTCCTCAGTCATACTGAAAGGTGTTTGAGCAAGGCTCTGGAGACTGAGGGTCAGCACGATACCATTAATGTAGAAAAACCTGTGGTACTATAGAAAACAAAACTAAAACTTTTTTGTAGAAGTCACTTGGGGGCAATTACTTAGCCCTGAATCCCTGAATTTAGTTCTACCTGTGTAGATGTGTAGCTCTATTTTAGCCTGGATGAATCTCCTGAAGAATCTCTCAGCTATTGGCACAAAGGCAATTCAGACAAGCCAGATGTAGTCATAAGCTCAGCCTGACAAATGTTCCCCTAGCCTACATTTGTGCTGGGAATTGAAGTCTTTGCTTTTCTGCTTTTGTCTTGGATTTTCTAATGTTAGTGCCAGGGGGGTTCTTGACTCTGTGACCTCTGTAGTAGTGTCAAAGCATTCTAACAACTGTGTGGCAAACAGAACAGTAGTTTATGAACAAGCAACTTTGTCAAGTCAACTGCTAGGTAAGGAAATGCAGAATGGTATACGAGAAGACCCTAGTTCCTTTGAAGCACTTTTAACTTCATTTGATATCTGTGGGAGAGCTTGCAATATCTTGGTTTTGTATTTAAATAATCTTTCTGATAGTTGGAAATAATAAACTACGGTGTCTGACTCTTAACAGGTGATACATGGACTGAGACACTGGCCTATGTGCTTTTCTGGGGAAGTGCAAGCTTTGGAACTTTTGCCATCATCCTTTACAACGGCAAGGATTTTGTAGATGCACCCAAGTTGGTCCAGAAAGAGAAGATGGACTGAATTTGTGTGTGTGGAAAGCGGCTTGGTACTGAGGATTCCTCAAGCCACGCCTGGAGTCTCTACTGACCTGCTTTCCACACCAAACTGTGGTCTAATGAACATTCTTCCTTGGCAGCCTTGTGGGGAGAGAAAATAGTGTCCTTTGGTGGTAGCTTTCAACTGAGATCTGACTCGGCAATCTTAGTTGCAATGGTTTTTGGAATATTGCATTTGTGGAGGGGGCTCCACTCAGTTTACTGAGATGATTCAAAGATTCCAGACACCAAAAAGCTGGCTTTAATGTTGCAGGGTGTAAGTGGACTGCTTTAGCTCACAGTCCAAATGTGCAATTTCAGCTGAATTTTGTTCTCTGTTCTGGCTTGACAGGAGGGAGCTCTGATGCTGTTCATATCTCAAAATACCTAGGAGTTGAAGCACTAATAACGGAGCTTCTTTGAACAAATAAGTCTTCATAAGAACAGAAAGTCTCGTTCCAAGACTCATAGCTGGATTACATTTGCTGTGATAAAGTCCATGTTAACAAGTCCTTTGTGCATTTGTGTGTGTTTCTTTTCCCCACCAATTTAAAGGATCTATTGAATCCTAACGCTCTTCCAAAATGAGCTTTTTGTCCTGTGTTTTATCTGGGACTGATGCAATATTCTACTAATCATTGTTTGGGTGAAAGGACGGTGTAATTGGATGCTCCTGAAGTTACAAATGTCTTGCACTGTTTCAGTACTACAGCCTCCAGATGATGATTCATTAGTTAGCACATTGAAGTCAAGATTTTTTTCTAAATATGTAAATGAAATCAAAGAATGTAAAAATCCTTTGCGGTGTTTATTGAACCTTCCTTATGCTAAAGGTCCAAAGTATTCCGTTACTTTAAGAGCAGTCACAATGTAAAAGGTGAACTTCATATTGTTTTGCTAGTCAGCTGCTTCTGTACTTTCTGTTTGTTGAAATAATTTACAAAAAAAAAAAGGAGTAAGAATCTGAAGAGAAAGTGTCGGCCTAACACTATGGTTGCACTTGGGAGCAGCTACTTGCTTTTTGTGCATGATGATATAACACTTTAAAAAAAAAAAAAGTTAAAAAAAGCTACACTGTAATTTGTGTTGGTTAACAATAAATGTGTGTCTTTAAATTTAGTGCTTCCAAGCTGTAAAAAAAAAAAAGTAATCTTAATCAAGGACCAATTTTAAACTATTTTGTCACTTATTTTATATGGTTTGTTTGAAACCAGAGATGAAACTTGCTTAAGGCGCTGTGCATTGTTTAATATTTCCTGTAAGTACAGCTGTATATTCAGATTGCAACTATAAAATTTAAATGGGGGGAAGGGAGAAATATGTAGAATACTAGAACTAGCACAGTTGTCATTGAAGCTAGAACATAAGACACTGATAATCCAGTGTTTCACTGTGTTATGACTGAAAATATGTACAGATTTTTGCAATTGTTAACTGTTCATTTTAATCTTGAATGTTTCTGGAGGCCTCTCTGGGTTTTGTGTAAACATAACCTGCTCATAAACACTAGTACTTGCGAAGTATCTGTTAGCTTCTAGATGCTGTAATGGAAGTACCAGTTGGCGGTTAACTGGAAAATCCTCTAACTTAACGTTTCTGAACATGAACTCTGTAACAGACACAAGGTACAAAACATCATAATCTCACTATTTAATGGTTTTTATGGCTCACGGGCAGGTGCCATATGGAACTTGGTTGTCGTGCAGGCTAGAACTGAACCTTGGCATTCGTGGTGGAAAAACTTGTGGCAAAGACCAAATGTGATTAAATGGATGGTAAGACAGACTAAAAGTGGATCATAAGACAGCCTAATGTAGGTTTTTGAAGCCGGAAGGCATCTGTATTTCAGTGCTTTGCACAGTCTGTATTTCTAGAGTCACAAACGGTGTGCTCGTGAAGGACAATAAAAATGCCCAACTTTTCTAGCTGCTGCCTGGTGTCGTGTGTGCTTTGGGGCAGCCGTGCCTCCGCCTTGTTCCTTGGGGACTATTTCTCAGGTGGAAGGCCCGGCAGCTGGGGCTCTATTTTGGGTCTTTTTGAGGCAAATTTCGCTGCTTGAGGACTTAAACTCCAGCCCAGCACCCAGCCGAGGGCGCAGTCGCGGGGCCGGGCCCGGCCCTTTCCGCCGCGCCGCTTCCGCCGCTTGGCGCTGTGGGCGGCGGCCGCTTGCTGCCCTGTGGCAGGAGCCCCCCGCAGCCGCCCCGCCGCTCCCCGCCGCCCGCACGAAGCCCCCCGGCCGCGGCGCCGGGCTCCGGCCGCCATGAAGCTCGTCAGGTGAGCGGATGGGGGCGGATGGCCGCCCGCCCGCCCGCCATCACCAACGGCCGCCATAACGGCCGCCAACCGCCATGGCGCCCGTGTGGCGCTTGGCGGGAGCGGCCCCGCGTGAGGCGGTAACGGGTGGGGGATTAACGGCGCCTTCCTAATTGGCAGGTTCCTAATGAAGCTGAGCCACGAGACCGTCACCATCGAGCTGAAGAACGGGACGCAGGTGCACGGAACCATCACGGGTAGGGCGCGGAGCTTGTAAACGGAGCTTTGTTTAGGAGTAGGATCAGGGGTGAAGGAAAATCTCCCCATTCCCAGCCCTTCTGTGGGCAAAGCTGCTGTAATACTCGCTTAGAGCTTTAGCTGCATGGTTATATTGGTAAGGTAGGTTTACTGTCTTATAAAACTGATGGTGGATACAGCCTAAACGTTTATAAGATGCTTCAGTACTTCTGACTTTGCTTGTCACAACTGCTCCAATCAGTAGTCACATAAAAACATTACACCCAAGTCACCAGCAGAGGGATTTTTTCCTTAAAATAGTAGTACGTATCAGCAGTAAGAGTTAAATGTTGATGCGGCCTTAAATTGGTTAAGCTTCATGTGTAAGCAATATTAATCTGAAAGTGAGTTACTTCCTTCAAGCCTGTTTTTGCTCTGCTTGTGGTGAACTTGCATAGATCTGCATCTTTGCATATCCTTGCATTGGTTTTGTGAAACTGTTCTGAAAACATGTAGCTTGAGAGGACGTGTAGCATAGGGATTAAGGGCAAAAAGGAATCCCGGTGTCAAGAACATGGCATCCTGCCTGTTGCCCAAGGTCTGTCAGACGATAATTTTCTGAGTGTTAATGTCTAGGGAAGCGCGTAGTGTCTGTGCTGATCCCTAAAATGAAGGTGCTCCTTTGTATCACTGAACTGAAGGCTGCGGGGAGAGCCTGTGTAGGTGATTATTTCATTCTTATGTGTGTGGAAAAATGCATGGACTCTTGTTTGCTTGAATAATGTGAGACACTGTGTTCCCCGAACAATATCACATTAGAATTACTTACAGACATTCAGGTATGTAGGTGGGGCTGTTGCATTTCTTAAAGCAAACTGTTGTGGTTAAGCTAATGACCGTGCTTGATCTCCTTTCCTTCACCCACTTGAATTTGCTTTTGGAGGCTCTTTCTACTCCAACTAAAAGAAGAACAAAAAGCAGTTCAAACTTGGCAAAGTCATAAGCCGGGGGTTACTTAGGTGCTTTTTTGGCCCGTAGCAATCTGCTGAGATTTGGCAAAGTTAAAAAAATTGGCATTATTTTTCAGCCAGATGCATCAGCGCTGATTAGCACCTGAATGCACCGCCCGGTATCTGAGTGCAGCGTGCTCCATGAACCCAGCTAGGTAGGAGGCACACAGCCTGCATGTCTCCTTCTGACCTCGCTGCTTCTGGGCTTGATTATTGAGCAAAGTCTCTCTCGTGCTCTGCTAAGGATCTGTAAAAAACTCTGAATGCAATCCCTATTTCTAAAGGGACGGGCTTCCCTTTACGTTGATGCACAAACCCCGGTAACAGCTCCCGGGTTCGCGCCATTTCCTCTTCCTCCTTCCGCTGCCGGAGCAGCCCTGCTGAAGGAGCGGGTTTGGGTAACGCTCGCGCTGACAGGAGGGGTGAAGTACAGGAGCCAGAACCACACAAAATGTAGAAATGGGGGAGAGGATAGGAAAATGAGAATAGGACGGCAGTTCTCCCGGTTCTGGCCTGCTGCTTGCTCACATTATTTGCCTTGGTAAAATGTCTTACAGTTTGCTTGTCTGTATTTGTGAAACAAGACAGTGTTTTGACCATGAAGGGTTGGTTGTCTGTACAGAAGTTCGAACACACTAAAATCTTGCTCAGATGGGTCACTGAGTTAACAAAAATTAATGTTTGTAAATTGGGATTTCCATCTTTTGTCTATTTTTTATCTCAAAAATGACTCTTACTTGGATTGGCTCTTATTTTTCTATTTTATAGAAAATATCACACTAGAATTAGATGTATTTTATCAGAAAATAAATGCGTGATAGTTGGGCTTTTTCTTAGGCTTGTAGCAAGAGGAAATTAAAATTTTTTCCCCCCTACTCAATGCTTTTTTTTTTTGCTTCATTTTTGAAGGAGCAAAAAGACTAATGCTAGACTTCTGTAAAAACAGCAGTTTATTTGTTACTCAAAGGAATTGTTTTAGTTGTTCACATAATTGCTGTGACTGTCTAGGACCTACATGAAGACCTCTGGCAGTGCTGTTCAGCTAGGAGCAAATGGTTCTTCCAACAGTTTTTCATTGAGGTGTTGTGGGCAGCAGCTGATATATTATTGAGCATGATTTAAGGGAAAAAAAGATGTAGTTTCTTGCAGGTTAGAAGCTTAATTAATGAATGGCATAGAGCCAGAAGTGTGTTTTAATGAACAGGATAAAACTTGAAGCATGTGCGTGCTTCAGATGGTTCCTTTTTGGGTGTTCTTACGTGCTTCCATCCGTGAAAATGGGGCTTGTGTTGTTTCAGGAGTGGATGTCAGCATGAATACTCATCTCAAAGCAGTCAAAATGACGCTGAAGAACAGAGAACCCGTACAGCTGGAGACGCTGAGTATTCGAGGGAACAACATCCGCTACTTCATTCTGCCGGACAGTTTGCCGCTGGATACTTTGCTAGTGGATGTTGAGCCAAAAGTCAAGTCCAAGAAGAGAGAAGCAGGTTAGTTTGTGATTCCCCAGTCTGTTTGTTCTGCCTTTGGGATCTCTGAATCTGAAAACGATTAGTGTCTGCATTGGGCAGCTTGTTCTCTCACATTCATTCAAGGGTTTGAAACTGACCTTCCTCGCTCTGCCTTGCCTACCTTCTTGGCCTCTGTAGAGTTTTCTTTCATGTGAAATTATTTTTATGACTTCTCAAGCTTCTGTTTTAAAAATGCAAATGTTTTTAAGCTTGAGTGAGTCTTAACCTGCCACATTCTAAGAGGTGATAGCAAAGTGATTTACAATTCCTCTTTTCAGACTGTCTTTTCCGCTTCCCCAGTTTGTATACTTCAAATGTAGCCTAATAAGAAAGTGCAGAACAGCCTCATGAACAGGGCAGAACTGAAATCCTGCTTGGTAATGGATAAAAATAAACTCCTGGAGAACTGAATTGGAGAGATTTCTGAACTGTGAGGGAGTCAAAGCTGTACTCTGATGAGCTGCTTTCTGTAGGAAAAAAAGCCCTGTTCCTTGGGAGCCTAACAGTAGAGGGAATACTTAATTTCATTCTGCACTTAAAAATTAATATCCAGTAATTCCACAAAACTTGTACGTCTTCAGGCAGTAAAAATTTGCCGAATGGTTAATGCATGTTTTTAAAAGAAGTTAAAATGAAAGTTAATTGTGCTCTAAGATAATGTCTTACATATTTCCCCTCTAATTTATGTTTAAGTATTTGGATCTGCAGTCTTTTGATCCATGGTATGTTCTAAAACTAGGTCATAATTAATCTGTTTACCTTACTGAACTGGTATAGGGCAGCCTTAGGTGTGTGTCACAAAGTGCCAGTGTTGTGGCTGCCGGCTTTATTAGGGAATAAGGACAAGGCTCCTGAAGTGGTTTTGTTCCTCATGTCCATTAAAAATAGTCTGACCGCATGGAGAAAGTGCAGTGCAGGCGGATTACCTCTTTTTCTGAACCCCACAACGTGAGGTGAACCAGAACATGGCTGTCTCTTTCTAACCCTGAAGAAACAGAAGGAGCTGTGACGGGGCCGTGCGCCTGTGCTCAGTACTCTCTGTGCCCTCGCTGTGCTGAAGCTGTCTCAGAGCACGGCTGTGCTGCAGTGCGCTTTGTCCTTAGTCTGGAAATGCCCTTGGGCTGCAGAACTTGTTACCACCTGGCCTCTCCTTGGCAAACGGCAATCGGTGGTGGAAGGCTGGATGCTGCCGAGAGATCTGTGGGTGTCTGTGTGCAGTGGGTTTGAGTGTGCTGATGCTCCAGAGTATTTTGGAGTCAGGGAAAGGGGTGAAGTGACGTTACTGTGTGGACCATATGACCTCCAGCAGTTCCTTCAGCCTGAATTACTCTGTAATTGTATGTTCCCCTTACCTGTACAGTGAAATAGTAGGATTTAAAAGTAGGAGGAAGCAATCAGCCTGAGAATCACATCTGAAATTGGCACAGGCACCACTGAGAGCAGTAGGAGCTGTTTGGTGGTGGGATCCTTAAAAAATGCTGCCACTTCACATAACACCTGAGAGGGAGAGCTTGGAGATCTCAGTGTGTTAAACCGTGCATTTCCCTTTTGCAACATACTTAGTAAAGCACAACGTGAGCTGAGGCAGAAGAAAATCTACAGAATGTTTTAATCTAAGTTAAAGCACTGCCAGGTCTCACTTGGTTTATCCTTTCTGTTTTATTTGCTAAGTCGCTGGAAGAGGCCGTGGCCGAGGACGTGGGAGAGGCCGGGGCCGTGGAAGAGGAAGAGGGGGCCCGAGACGATAACTTCTCACCACACAACTGTTACCAAATTGTGGGCAATTTTGGATTTTTTTTTGTACAGGTCTTGTTTATGGTATCTGTTTTTAATAAACTGAAAAGTGAAAAAGTTGTCTGCCCTGTGTTAAGTCTGGGGGGAGGGAGGCGCGTACTGGTAGAGGCTGTTGCACATTAAGCGTGTCCTGTTGGCGTTGGTTATGATTTTCAAGATTTTATCCACCCTTGAAGGCTGTAACATTACCTCTTGCTCTTTGCCCCATAGAGAAATGCTTGTGTTGGTGTTCTTTGGAAATGTTTGAAATGAATCCCTCTTTTATAAGGCTCTTGCCATCTCCTAATGGTTATATGTAATTAAGACCTTATATTGACAACCTGTTTCCTGCGAGTGTTTATCTTATGTTGCTCTTCAGTGACCTCTGTAGAAGTTCACAGATAAACTTTTTACTGTTTTCTACAACATGAAGCTTAAATTTTAAACATGGTACTTCCTTTATAAAACATTCATATAGGCAGATGGAACAGTTCTATGGAGCTGCTGCATTGTTGCTTCTCACGATTAAAATTAAAGTATAGTTGGATGTGAACTTTGTCAGAGCTAATTGCAGGGCATACTCCTGCTTGGGTGGGGCTCGTAAAGGAGCTTTATCACAGGGATTTTTAGTGTACCTATCGTGCATCCCTAGCAAATTCCAAGTACAGCACAGGGCAGAATTGCATCCTGGAAGGTTACTTCTGGAGATGAGAACCTCTGCAGCTTATTTATAAACTGCTTTGCTGGCCACAGATACAAAAGACGCCACCTTGGCTGCAGTTACACCATTATCCTGTCTTCTCCCTTGCAGGAAAGGGATTATTACATTCTCATTACAAAACTTCAAGTTTCACCTGCTGTGTGGACTGGTAAGGATATTTGCCAGTACGCTGGTCCAGGAACGTGCTCGGCTGCTTGCTCCTGTTTCCAGATAGGCAGTGCTAGAGCAGAGAGGAAAGGAATTGCCTAAGGTACGCAATGGGTCAGGCTGCTGGTTAATTCCTGCTGGCTCGCGTGTTGTGCGCTGCTGTTCTGCTTTTCCCCCTCTTTCAGAGGCTGCGTTACAGCTTCATCCTGGTAGAGAAGAGCTTTTCTGAACCGTTGTGGGACCTCCCAGGAGCGCTTTGTGGTAAATATAGCACCCAAAATTCTCAAATCTCTAAGTAGCTGCTACAGATAAGGGTTGCTGCTGTCTTCCAGAAGCGCCCCGGCGCGGGTGAGGTCTTCCCAAATCCAGCTGCTGGCGTTCATGCGACGGTTGAGACTCCTTCCCTCTTCAGCCTCTTCCGAATGAAAGTGACGAGTGCCCCCAGGGGAATGCACATGGTGGATGATGCCACCAGCAGCCCTATCACTGCCAGGGCGTACCCGGGGTAGTCTTTTGTCACCAGCTGCCCCTGCAAGGGAGAGAAGAAGCCTTGGGGCTGTGCTTTGGTGTCCCAAAGTCAGTCTGCCCTCAAACAAAGCTGCGCCACGTGCTGCGTGGGCTGCAGCAGCTCACCCGTGTCCTCGGCGCCTTTCTTTGCCCAATTTTATCAGCTTAAAATTGATCACAAGAACGGAGCTGCTACAGCTGTTACACAAGAGAAAAATAATAGGGGGAAAATTTCTGCAAGCTTTGGCTCAATTTGCTTCTCCTAATGAGATGTCTCAGCGCTCACCCCTGCCAGGGCTTTTCATCCCGCTCCTGGAACCCCTGGGCTCATGCTGACACCTGGTCACCAGGCCTGGCCCTCTGCAGGCTCCCAAATCGGTGGTGACGTGAGAACAAGGTACTTAATTTGTTTCTACATGCTAGGAGTGCTTCCACAAAACCGTTGGAGCCAGCAATTACTTACCCAGGAGTAATTCCGTTGTGATAAACACAGTTAAGCATTCCTACAAATGTGTTTTGGCCAGGAAGAAAAATGGATGTGGTAACTTTCAGCAGGGGACTGCTTTGTGAAAACTATTCATTTATTCCAAGAGCAGCTCAATTTTGTTAAAATACCATTAATTTTGACCAAAATACTACAATTTGAAGGTATTTTTTCTGTGTAATGTCTATTTCTTAGAATGGTATTTTGGTTTTCAGTCAACGCAAATACAGTGTTACTGGTTGAAGGGGTCAATTTATAGGAGCTTTAGAGGGAAATTAGTCCATTTTATAGAACCATGGCATTGCTGACACTAGGTCACGTTTTTCATGTTCTACCTAGCTGCAAAACTAAGGAATGGCATTGATTCGAGCTGCTTTCAGAGGACACTTTAGGAGGGAAGGCTGTGTCCTTGAAGAATTAAGAAAACATAATTAAAAAAAAACAACTATTTTACCTGTGTGGCATCCCATGCTTGGTACTGAAGTGTTCCCGTGAGGATGTAGTCGGTGAGGTAAAATATAAATAGGCTTATAATTAGCAAAGGACTAGCAAAGGCCCACATAACCTTCCAATACCAGTTGAGTTTGCGGCCAATCATCGTGTGAAGATCTTTCTCAAACCTGTGTTTTAAAGAAAAAAAGAAAAAAAAAAGGCATAATCTAGAGAGTTCAATCAGCACCTTGATCTGAGTTACTTCAGAAACACCTACAGAATTAGATGTGCACGTAGAGGAAGGGGAGAGCATGCTTGACCAGGAGAGCAATCAGAGGTAATAGTGATGCCAGTGGCCTGTTTGTGGCCACCTTTTTTACCTTCTCAGCCCGTAGATGTAACACACAGCGATGGTTTCTACCAGAACGATGAGCAGCAGCGAGAGGGTGGCTGCGTAGTCATTGAAGATGTCGAACCAGTAGTTGCCAGCCTCCATGGTGAATATCAGGCCGATGATGCAGTTAACGAAACACACGACACCTGCGTGGAGAGAGCAGAGCACACCTGGGAATCAAACTGCGAGGGAAAACATGCAGTACTTGGGGGTGTGCAAGTATTTCCTTCTGGCAGTGTACTTGCTGTTCCCTATTCCCTTCAAGAAAAGCGGGACCCTCAAAGGGTGCAGGACACCAAGGTTTTGCACACACGCCCTCTCCTGCTGTGGGGTGGGCACTTACCCGAGATGACCTCCTTGGGGAAGCGGCTGGCGATGAACTTGCTGTCGGTCAGGGGCGTGAGGATGGCGGCAGTGTTTCCCAGCATGCTGCCGATGCCCAGCATCAGGAGCATGACGAAGTAGAGCACGGAGTACAGCTGAGACACCTCCATGTTTTTGATGGCTTCAGAGTAGACGATAAACGCTAAGCCTGTTCCCTGGACAGCCTGACGGTGAGAAAATGAGACTGAATGAGCTGGGGGTCAGCTCCCTCACCTACGGGCTTATAGGAAGGAAACATTTACATGGGGAGCATTAAAATTCCTGCCAATTTCAGTCCCTTTTCAGGACGCAGGGGTGCAGGATGTGCCACGTTAAGGGGGACAGGAGCCCAGACACCAGCACAAAGCAGCCCCTTACCGTGTCTAACTCCGCTTCCAAGCTGCAGTTTTTAAGCTGCGGCAGTAACTGGGCGTATTCCTGCGGGTGGGTGGCCATCAGGTAGTCTTTCATCTCGTTGAGGTTGTCTGCTGTCAAGGAGCCTTCCTCCAGGTCGAACGCATTCAGCAGCAGCAGGATCACCCTGGGGCGGACGATGGGGATTTAGTTTCTGTCGGCTGGATGGAGCCACCAGGGCCAGGTGATGGAAAGGGGAGCAGGATGGCAGTGCTGAAAGCAGCGGGTGGGCAAACGCTGCCCAGGGAAAGCCCAGCCTCACACAGGGGTTCAGACCACCCCAGAGGCTGAGGCATAGCACTTGTGCTGGTTTTACTCCCTTGTCCCCATTGCCATCAGCCAGGGCACCCGGTATTCTGGGCACGGGCCAGCGCTGGCTGGTGTCCCTTCCCCTTTGCCCTCCGGTCCCACTTCCACACGCACCCCCATCCTAACAAGCCTTTTGGCAAAGAGCAGGGACGAGCAGCTTCCTCTCCCATCAGCAGATAGATGCAAAGCTCTAAAAACACGAGTAAAAGTGTAACTGCTGCAGGCCCTGTGCCAGGGGGCATGACCCTGCAGGGTGCTGAGCGCCTCCAGAACGTCCCCACCGAGGACGCTGAGCCCCTGGCGCAGGGATTGGCCTTGAAGGGGGTGTCAGAGCATTGCTGCGTTTTGCTAACCACCACCTCCATCATCCTGCAGCCCCCGGAGCCTGGCACACGGGAAGGCACTGCTGTGACCCGCCCAGGGAAACCCGCTCTCTTCAGCCAGCCTGTGCCATGAGCCAGCACCCAGGTGTCAAAAGGCAATCCAGCTCTGACCTTTCATCTCCTCCTTCATCGCTTTAAATAGCACTATTACCTTTATTAGAGCACTATCAAGTCTGGTCTCTGGCCAGCTCTGCATGCTGTTATTTATTTACCTCCCTTTTTACTTCCCCAAGAATTGCTTGCAGTAGCAAGCAAGCCAAATACACGGCCCTCACCTGTTTATACAGCTTTCGTAGTTAAACGTCGCCTTGAAGCCGTAGATGGAGAAGGTCACGATGCTGGCAAATATGGACGTGGCGCTGTTGATGAGGGAGACGATGATGGCATGGCGCTCGCAGTTGTTGCTCGGCTCGTTGTAGCTGGCAAAGGCGATGAGGCTGCCGAAGCCCAGGCCCAGCGAGAAGAAGATCTGCGTGGCGGCACTGATCCAAGTTTTGGGGTTCGACAGCTGCTCCAGCTGCAAAACCAGAGAGGGAACACAGGGCTGTGAAGCTGTACACACAGTGCCCAGTACTGCCTCTCCTAGCCTGCAGGAAAAAGGACAGGGAAAGTGATGGCAATGAGGTTCCCCCACACCCAGGGGTGAAGGGAGATGGGTTGGGTCCCTTTGCACACCCATTTTAGCTCAGGGGCATTTTTTGGCAGGGTCAGCGCTCAGTTTGAAGTGACATACTGCAAGATATGCTAGAGGGCACGTCCTGCACTGCAGGTGAAAGCAAGAAGCCCATGGGAATGTGGCAGAACTTCAGCAGCTCACAGCTGGGGGTTTTCAGCCGTCTGAGCCAAGCTACTGCCACAAAAATTTAACAGGAAGAGAAGTAGCATTGCCACCTCCAGAAAACCTACACATTCAGTCACTAATAA